GGCGGTCCCGGGGAGCAGGGCTGGCTCCGTCTCCCCTCTGGCTGTGTGTGGAAGGGGGCAGGTGGCTGGGAGGGTTTAGAGACGGTCCCGGGGAGCAGGGCTGGCTCCGTCTCCCCTCTGGCTGTGTGTGGAAGGGGGCGGGTGGGTGGGAGGGTTTAGAGACAGTCCCGGGGAGCAGGGCTGGCTCCGTCTCCTCTCTGGCTGTGTGTGGAAGGGGGCAGGTGGGTGGGAGGTTTAGAGACGGACCCGGGGAGCAGGGCTGGCTCCGTCTCCTCTCTGGCTGTGTGTGGAAGGGGGTAGGTGGGTGGGAGGGTTTAGAGACAGTCCCGGGGAGCAGGGCTGGCTCCGTCTCCCCTCTGTCTTTGCGGGCAGGGTGGCACACAGACACTGGCATCACCTGCCTGCGAACAGCACTGGCGGTTCAGGAGCCTTCCACCTGCTGCTCTCAGCCCCTGGCATTCCCAGCTTCTCTGCGGGCTACAAACAGCCCTGCCCCTCTGGCAAGGCCCGAGTGCCCCAGCATCCCTTGCCATTCGTAACCCCCCCGGGCGGGGCAGGACAGAGGCGCAGCAGCTGGGGCGAGTGGCTTGCCCTCGCTTTGGTGCTGAGTCCCAACCGGCTCAGAGGCTGGCCATGGAATTGCTGGCTCCCCCGGGCAGGGCTGAGCTGCCAGCAGACTGGTGGCACCAGGATCATTTCAGTGGGAGAGGGGGGCTCATTTCCATAAAGCCTCGTACCCGGTTGTTTCTTGCCTTAGCGAGGCTGTTTCCTGCCAAGCTGTGGAGAAGCCGCAGCTGCGTCTAGGGATTTACTGTGACTGGATCAAGTGCACAGCCAGTGGCCAGATTCTGCTCTCCCAGCCGTTGGTGTAAATTCACGGTAACTCCACTGATGTCGGTGCGGATCCAGGCCAGTGATGGAGTTCAGGGGTTTGGCTCATTCTCGTTATTAATTAGAACTGGCTGGAAAATGTCAGCAAATGAAATTTCAATGAAAGACCAACTGAATCTCATGGAAATATTTGTGATATTTTCCATTTGCTGCCCAGCTCTGCTACTGGCAATAACAACACTCAGCAGGTGCCTGGCAGTAAGAGTGGTTAAGGTGCTGGCCCGGGATGCAGGAGTTCTGGGTTTAATGCATGTCTCTGCTACAGGTGACCTTGGGGGAGTTGCTAGGGGCAGATCTTCTAAAGAGCTCTGCTTCCATTTAGACACCACAAGATGCATCCAGAACTGAGTTTTTCTGGCTCTCAAATCGCCAGAGACCAGGACTCCTGCCCCACCCGGGGAGGAGGCTTCCGGCGTGGATTGTGTCCTGCCAGCCGCTCCTGGGTTTGAGCCTGAAGTTCTCTGAGGCGTCCTTGTGAGAGGTGCTGGCTTCACAGCTCAGCAGGCTGGTTTGCTGTGCCCAAGTACCACGTAGGCAGAGGCCGTGTGAGCCCTGTCCCACCAATGAGCCTCACACCTGATCTGCAGGGACCATGTCGGGTGTGAGGGGAAGAGCTGTCTCCACAGCCCAGCCAAGCTTTGGCTTCTCAGCCAGGGATGCCAATAAATGTGTAGTCAGTGCTGAGGTTCCACAGGAACAGCCAGGCTCCCAACTCCTTTCACTGAAGGCCCTGATCAGACCCTAGCTGCTAATACTTTTTGTTTATGGAACTACTGACCCGTGGGACCAGGGCGCTCCAGGCGAGAAGAGCCGTATCTGATTGCTGAGCCTCTGAGCCATTCGGTTCAACTTCCGCTCCTACTTCTCTTCATCACACGTGGACGCTTTAAATGGTGCAGCAGCTGCGGTTGGCCAGACTAGCCTGAAAACCCACAAACCTGGATGTAGAGCAGGGGTGGGCAGACTACAGCCTGAGGGCCACATCTGGCCCTTCAGACGTTTTAATCTGGCCCTCAATCCCAGCTGGGGAGCGGGGTCCGGGGCTTGCCCGGCTCCATGCATGCCAGGTCTCCGCGCAGCTCCCGGAAGCAGCAGCATGTCCCTCCTATGTGTAGGGGCAGGAGGGGGCACATGCTGCTGCTGCTGCTGCTGCTGCTTCTGGGAGCTGCTTGAGGTAAATGCAGCCCGGAGCCTGCACCCCTCATCCCTCCTGCGCCCCAACCCCCTGCCCCAGCTCTGATCCCCCTCCAAACCCCTTGGTCCCAGCCCGGAGCACCCTCCTGCACCCCCAACCCCTCATCCCCAGCCCCACCCCAGAACCCACACCCCCAGCTGAAGCCCTCACCCCCTGCCGCACCTCAACCCCCAGTTTCGTGAGCATTCATGGCCCGCCATACAATTTCCTTACCCAGATGTGGCCCTTGGGCCAAAAAGTTTGTAGAGCCTTTGCTCAGCCACTCGGACTGCAAGATGAGGGACCTTGCAGCACATCGCTGTGCACTGGGAATGCTGCCTAGTGCAGGGTGGGGGACTCAAGGGGTCGGCACTGAGATTTCTTGGCTCTCGCTGCCAAGTGACTGGTTCCAAGCCATCCCAGGAGGTCCGTGAGTGACCGGAGTCAGGAAACTGCTCTGGAGGCTTGTGGCAATGTATGATTGACAGCTCCAGTCCAGCTCCCTGGCTGACACTTGCTCCAGTCCAGACAAGTGTCTGTTGCATTTGGCACTTCCGGTAGAAGAGCCAAGAACTGAACTGGGTGTAAAGACTGAACTGCCCCTAGGTACGGGCCCTTACTGGTGGGGAATGGTGTGTGTGAGATGTAACACTGCTTCTGCTCTGGCTTTGCCTGACTTGCACCTAATTAGACAACTTCAGAGCCCCTTGAAATGGTGCATTCAGCACCCAGACGTGTCCTCGGTCTGTCTGGATCGGTGGCTCTTTGCACGGCACCCCTACCAGGTCCTTGTTCCTGCCCAGGGGATCAGCAGATGTCCAGTGTCATAGGATATCTACAAACAGGGAAGTTGGCCTGCAGCACAGCTCTGCTCCTGTCAGAGCAAACTCAAGCCCCTCCAAAGCACAGGAGGTTTCCCTGTTGGGCTGTCGGGATCATGCTGGAGAATTGAAGTCACTATTGCAGGAGTTCACAGAAGAACCTGAAAGGGCAATTGATGCTCTGCCACAGTGGGCAGCAGAAGGAACACAATGGCCTCCCATTAATGTGCCAGCTAAATCCCCAGGTGAATTGATTGGCTAGTTAGGCTTCTGATGGCCTGGTCTGCAAATGCAAATGAACATTTTCATGCAGATTTCACCACATGCAAATGGAGATGCCTGGGAATGCTCGGAGTGCATTACTGGAGGTTGTTTCAGGTCCGGGTCATCTGAGTGCAGTGCGTAGAGGACCCGACTGGAATTTGTGATCCCACTGTTCTAGGATCTGCTGGAAATTGAGAACCGGTGGAATTATAGACTAGCTTGGGCTAGGACAGGTGGGGTTAGAGGGCCTGATCCAAAGTCAATGGGAATCTTTCCATTGACTTCAATGGGTTTTGGATGACGTCCATAGTGTGTGTGTGTGGGGGGGTGCTTGGGCGGAATGAATGAATTCTTAAGAAATTGTGAGTAACAGCACAAACATGGGAGTTTGTAGCAATGGCAGGAGTGTGTATTGTTCAGTACTTTGAATTCCTGACTAGACCAACCACAGTGATGAACTTACTTTGCTGATTGAAGGTATCACAACCTGTCTACTGCCCCTAAATCGGAAGGACTTTATCTTTTGATAGCATTTGGCAGAGAGGGTTATGGCTAGTCTTGAGAATGTCTGGCGTCCCCAAGAAACGGGTCAAGCTGATGAAGAACATCTACAGCAAGGTGATGAGTGTGGTGGGAATAGACAAGAATCTGATGGAATGGGTCAGGATGAGCTAGGAGCAAGGATGCACGTTATCACCAGATTTATTCAACTTGGTACTGGAAGCAGTAGTGGCTGTTGCATTGAGACATGCAATGGGAGGCGTCATGTTGTGTGGGAGGACAGTGAACAACTTTATTTTCACAGATGATATTGACCAAGAAGGATTTACAGAGAATAGCTGACAAGGTGGATCAGAAAAAGTCAGAGTGAAGATCAGCACAGAGAAGACAAAAATTATGGCAACTGGAAGACACGAGAGAGAGAGGTAAAGATAAAACCCAGAGACAAAGAACTAGAACAAGTGGAAAAAATGTATCAGAGGGGTAGCCGTGTTAGTCTGAATCTGTAAAAAGCAACAGAGGGTCCTGTGGCACCTTTAAGACTAACAGAAATGTGTGTACCTTGGAGGTACTGAAGAATGGAAACTGTGAAGATGGCATAAAAAGAAGAATTGAACTAGCTGCTACTGCATTCATAAAACTCTGTAACATCTGGAAGGCCAAAGATATTTCAATCAAAGCAAAAATC